TAATTTTCACACATTACTGTCTTTCACTAAGAAATACATGGGATGATTTGGGTTTTGTTGCCTAATAAACAAGGCTCTTTGTTTTAGTTTTTAAAGCAGAAATTAAAAAGGAGTGATGAAGATTCATAACAATTTTGACACGTTATATAAAATCACTGTGTCTGGTTGGCGCTTATCTCTTTTGTTTACAGGAACTTTTCTGCATTTATATTTTCATTGCCTAAGGGTCAGTTGAGAAATAAGTTAAATGCAAGGAGTATTTTTGGAATGTATAATAATATAAAACCCACTAAAATACTGAGGCAGTAAATACCCACTTTGTATTTGCACATGATTTTCAGAATATAATAGGAGTAAAATAAGCCTGAAGAGACCCATATCTAAAATGATACTTTATTCCCAGCCCCACTTGTTTTTCTTTAGATTCTAATTTAGCAGATAAGAATTGCACCTTTTTAGAAATGACCCCAAGTTTTATTTTCAAAATTGAAAGAGATAAAACATATAGCCTTAAGGCAGTAGTTCCTGACTTCCAGTATTAAATGTGCAATTAAATTGTAGCAGTTAATAACTTCTCTTCCCCCTTTATCATTTCCATAGTCAGTTATAATAATCTTTAACTTAAGTTTCATTTCTTCCAATATTTTTTTCATGTATATGGACCATTGTTTATTTTTATGGCTTTGTTGCCATGCTGTGTTTATGCTCCTCAGTTCTTGTCCTGCTAAAGCAAAGGATTGAAAGGCAGAGAGAGACACAATAGTGAAACAGAAAAGTTTCTCTGAATACATTCCAGAGAAAAAGTGGGCCAGAGTCAAGGTAGACAAAGGCCTCTCCCCATTAGTTTGGAGGCTTTTTATTACATTCTGTCTAGGAGGTGCCTCTTTGATTGACAAGGTGGGGTCATTTGATTGACAGGTCTGTCTCTATAGCCATCCCCCTTCGTGTGCATGTCCTTTCCCATGGTGAGGTGTGGTTTGGGCAGTTCTTAGTTTTGTTTGATTGTGTGCACATTGGGAGCTGGTTGGGACAGGTTGGGCCTCATCCCAATAGGCAAGGAAGTTATCTCCCTGAAAGGTCTTTGTTGTCTTCACGTAGACCCCCTACCTGGGCAGAGTTGGGAAGTTTCTTCCTTTGAACCTTATCTTCCCCTTCTCCGGCTATTGTGTCTGTCTTTCTACATAACAACTTCATTGACTCAGATGTTCTATTAACCTGTATGATTTACTGTACAAAATGATATTCTCATATTAGAGTCGATGCATTAGCAGAATTTGACTCAGTGTTTACATTTAAATTAATGTTAATTCCATTTGCATTTTTATGGTTGGGCCTTATTTTTTCTATGTTGTTCTTCAACCCTTCCAGTTTTTCTTATTCATCAACCCTAGACCCTTTCCAGTTTGGTTCATCAGCCCTCTTCCACCTTTATTTGTGTCCCTATTATGATTTCAGAAGCATTCTACTATCCTCCAAGATTGCTTGTTTCTTTTGAAATTCTCTTTTACCCCAGGGTGATCAGAGAACAGTTTGGCTAACCTCTCTGTCCACTTTTACTGCTTCTGCTTCCAGACCTTTGAGGTTGCTGAGAATAATTGCCAGGTAGCAAGCAGTGCCTTTTTGATCAGCTACAAATTCTTATGCATATTTGTTTAACCTAATCTGGTTGCAGCACACTAATTGGTGATCCTTATAAATAATTTTTATGTCTAATTTTTATTTTATCAAAACAATACATGCACATAGTTTTAATGGAAAACAGATATTTGTTCCTTGTTTTTTTATTCTTAGACATTATCCATTTGACTCTAATTAAGTTGTCTCATTTATTCTTTTTCTCTTAGAAGTAATGTTAATTGGGTGTTAGACTTCATAGATCATCATATCTTTTTTTCTCTCTTTTGGAAGTTTCTTTTCTAAGCCTTCTTTTGTTTTTTTTTAAATTTATGATATATTTTTTAATTATCCAAAATTGGTTTTTTTGCTCATAATTTTCTTTTAGAGCATGTTCTTGTTTTATGGTTGCAGTATCTTCCCTGAACAGTCTTATATTAAATAAAATTTTAAAAATTGTTACTTTGTTTTTGGTCTCTGTCTTTTGCATTGGAAACTGTCTTTTAAATGTTTGGATCAGTTCTCAGAAGACTCCACCAGTGTCCTGCTGAGAGTTGGGTTGGAGGTCTTGGTTATCACTGGTTCTAGCATTTTGTATGTATGTAGGGGGGAGGTAACCACTTTCTTTTCAGAATGACTCCTTACCTATGCTTCCAAGTAAGGCTCGAGCCTTGCAGGTTAGAATCTGGTTGGTTCAGTTTCTCCAGAGTAAAGGATCAGCTTTCACATGGCTGAAGAGGGGTTGTTAGCTCCTTAGTACAGAGGAAAAGATATATGGGCTTAACTGGAAAAGATACGGGCTTTTAACACAAACCTGGCTTCTTACCCACACTTACTGACGTGTTAGCCTCTCCATTACTTTTGGGAACTTTGTAATGCATTGCTTACTTCCTGTTAACTTCTTATGCAGATCTGAAATCACCAGCTTTTATTTTAAAAAAATCAGTCACTCCCTATATACTATATGTCCCTTTGGTTCTCTTTGTCCTTTTGGGTTTATACCTTCTATCCTTTCCATGTCATTCTTTCGGAGTTCGGGGAGGGAATGGAGATATATACATGGATCCATCTTCCTATGCTAAACATAATTCCATTTATGATTCTCTTACAGATTAACACATCTTTGTGTTTCTCTTGAAGTTGGCAGTCTCATTTGAGCCATCTTCATAACTAGTAACTTTGCTTCCTAACTTATGACAATAAGAATTCCAGTAACTTTCCTAGGCCAAGCAATGGGGTGATTGTTAAGATATAGAAAATATAGTTCTTGTTCTTATGTAGCTTATAGCATTTCTGGATAAGTAAACAAATCTAAATTGTTATATTGTTCACATATTGCAGTTATATTTAAAATTATGTTGAATGAAAATTATTTTTTAAAAATGGTACTATATATTTAAACAGCCACCTATAAAGTCACTTTTCTATATGCTTCACATGTATTGCATCATTTGATCACCATAGCAATCCCATGAGTGAGACGCTTTTCTTATCCCCATTTTACAGATGAGAACCTGAAGCACAGATGGATGAAGTTCTTTTTCAAGGGAACCCAGTTAGTGGTGCAGGCGTTGGTAGAGCCCAGGGTCTTTAGCTTCCAGTTCCACCTTCTTAGGGTACACCTAGTGCTGAGGGTGCCACGGGGAGATACTCAACTTGGCTTGGCAGGAGAGAGAGAGAGTTGGAGAAAAGTCCTGGGAGAGGCTGCGCCTAAGCCCAGTCTTGGAGAAATTGGATTAGCTGGAGCAAGTACCATTTTAGTTAAAGAATCTTCTTACCTCACGATCTAACTGTATGTTTCCAGTTCTTCTCTTTAGTCTTGTCTATCTGAGAAAGAAAATGTTTATCTTCTGTTCAGTTCAGTAAACATTTTTTGATTGTCGGCCATTTGCTGCACCGTGACTCATGCCCTCATTTGAGCTTATGATAACCGTTTTGTTGAGCCATCTTTCCTACTTCTCTCCACTTAACACTCAGTATGCTGCCACCAGGCTTTGTTCACAGCACTCTCAATAAAGTAGGCAGTTATCTCCTTATTAAGAAAACCAACAAACATTTTTTCGTCCCATTTTTATTAGATCTCTTTGCTGTATTATAGTGGGAATCCCTCCTTTTTGAAATGCTCAACCCCTCTCCTGTTTTACACACTGTTGGTGCTTTCATGGACCTCTCCTACATCAACGAATTACTCCTTCATGTGTTAAGATCCCTACAACTTTACCCTTGGTTACTTTATATTTGCAACTACTACCTGTATTCTGAAGATTTTCTGGTTATTGAGACCTTTCTTTCTCCAAGCTGAAAATCCATAGAGAGATGTAATAAGTATTTCTACTGGGATTTCCAACAGAAATCTCTCACTCAGCTTATCTAAAGGTAGACCCACTGAAACTGTGTCTACTTTATTTTCTTTTAAATGAAAGTGGGCTTTACTGCGCATCTTGTAATGAAAGCTTAAAAATAGGTTCTCTCTCCTTGAATCCAATCAGTATGCTTTATCTCCTTAAAACACACACCCATCTATGCATTTCTCTCTCCCTCCTCCTCCCCCAAATCTTTACCACCACTGCCCTGCTTTTAGCCATCTGCATCTCTCCCTTAGACTTCTGCTGACAGTGTCATCACTGGTCTCCTGTGTGTGGCCTCACCTTCTCAAATCCATTTGTCACAGTAAGCAGAGTGTATAAAATTCAAATCTGATTATGTTCCTCCCCTGAAACCATTTCATTGGCTCACCAGCAATGACAAAAATCAAAGCTCAGCAAACTTTTCTGAAAAGGGCCCAGTAGTGAATATTTTAGGCTTTGTAGGCCAGATGTCTGTGCTGCAAGTCAGCTCTGCCTTTATAGCAGGAAAACATCCACAGTCAGTCTATAACCAAATGGGTGTGGCTATGTTTCAGAAAAACTTTATTTATGAAAACAGATGGTGATCTGGATCTGCCCTGCAGGCATAGTATGCTGACCCTCCCCAGACCAAGGTATTAAGGGCACTGCCGGTTATAACCCCCTTTTTCTTTTGCATACCTACCTTAACATCAACCACAGTCATACTTTTTATGGTACATTTTTCCTCCAGATACTATGTGCAGACATCAGTCCTTGCTCTGTTAGAGTTGGTTTGTAGAGGCTGTTTATGGATCTGCCTGCTTCTCTAGTCATCAATGTCATAGTTATTTATGGCTTCTACATCCCTTGTCATGAGATTGTAGACTTTTTGAAAGCAGAGAATATGACAACTTTATATCCCATGCAATAAAGCATGCTCTTTGCACAAAATAGGAAATTAATACATTTATTTGAATCCAGTCATTAGTTTTAACCGAGGTATTTTTTAAAATTAGACATACGATGCAGTTCAATTTATTGTTTGTTTTGAATTCTTAGAGACAAATAAAAAGTGGTGTGTTTTGGAAGCAGGCTTCTTGAGTTACTATGAAAATGATAAGTCTACCACACCGAATGGCACCATTAATATCAGTGAAGTAATCTGCCTGGCTGTACACAAGGAGGACTTGTATTTAAATACTGGGTAAGTCTATCATTAAACAAGGAGGAGGTGAAAAATATTTTCTGATATTTATCACCTGTAGTAAGGGTTTTATTTCAGTCCTTCAGTGGTTTTTATTGTAGAAGGGTTGAATGGTTTCTTGAAGCTTTAGCATTTTAAATTCCTTAGGGAATTCACTAAAAAGTTGGAAAATTAAAATACTACACTAGGTAATATGAAAGGCTAACATGTTTGCATCTAATCTTAAGTAAATTTATAGCATTCCATTCTTGAACAAGTAGTCCTACAATTTTTATGATTTACTAATTATTTAAAGTAGTGGACTACTGGCAAAATGTATGCTCTTAATGCATCATGGTTCGAATAGATGACAATGGAAAATATTCAGTGATAATATATCACAATAAACAAAATACTAAGTCTATTTAATAACATACTTAAATGCAAAATTCCTTAAAGATCCACTTTGGCATTTTAATGGTCTCAAATAAGTTGCAATTAAAAGCATTATGTACTTAATATATTTGACTCAGAATATTTCACAAAAATTCTGAATTTTAGAAACAGACCATCTGAGATCTTTGGTGTGAAAATTTCTAATCACATTTTGTGATGTAATTAGTGAATAAACATTAAAATCTTCAAAATATAAGTTGTATAGGAACATAATATTTTAATAAAAATTTTATATGAGAGTGGGAAGAGTTTTGCAAAATTTTTTATTTATGTAAAACTACATGAAACATCATTACATAGTGACCAATATATGCTATTTCTAGTAACTCTAAGTTGATTTGTTTTTGTTCAATATTAATACTGTTTATTCTAAATGAATAATCAATTTAAAATGGCTTATTGTGAAATGTAGATAAGTGCATTCTCTGTATCAAGCTGTTTAATTAGTAAATAAAATACAATTTAAAATAATACTAGTTCATATTAGTAAATAATCATATTAAAAATAAAACATTCTTGACATGTTACTAATAAAAGTAGACACGCAGGAGAAAGCATCTGCAATGAGAGAAGGTTAAAAAATAATTATTGCAGCCATATTCCAAACTGCCATAAGTAGAGTTCGGACATAGTAATGTAGGCATTGAGAATTACATAAATTGTAGTTTAGGAAGAAAGCTGGCTGAAGAGGTAAGGAAGAGATTGGAGGAAAAGAAGCCAGAATTACTGAGAGTTTAACTAGAGAAAGAAAAAATTAAAAACAAAAACAGTGGGTTGAGAGAATCCTACCATTGAACTGATAAAATTAAATAAATGTCTGCCTGACTGGATGAAGAGCTGATGTTAACAGGAAGAAATTAAACTCCAAGGTTTTGAGTTTGTTGATGAGGCAGATCATGACGCAACATGAAGGAGATGAAACAGGTTTGAAGAAAAAAGGAGGAAGAAGGAAGACCACTGTGATATGGGGTGCTTTGAATGTCTTAGGTGATGGCGGCATGCATGCATAGCACGTTCCCAGAAATAGTCGGAACTATGCATGAGGAACCCAGGGAAGAATTCAGAACATGGGGTATTATCTAATTTTTTTCTATAGTAAGGAGATGAAATTTCAGATTAGATGAGATGATAGAAGGAAAATTTGTGAAGACAAGAAGAAGCCTGCTGAGAGAACTGTTTGGGCAGTGTTTGCTTTGAATAGTTAATCAGGATGGAGTGGTCTGAGCAGGAATAGGAGTCCGAGAGAGCCCCCTGCTGCATCGGTCGGCTGATGAGTGTCCAGGGCATAAACAACATCATATGGTAGAGTGATTAAGTCATCAGAAAGATACTGCTTTTGTCTTACCCACTGTACTCTATTTAACTCATTTTAGTAAAATACAAGTCATGATCAGAAAAATATGATTGATGGATAGATTGGTTTCACAGCATCCAGTTTTCAAAGGAAATTTAATTAAAACTTTGACCTTGTGTTAGTTGTTTTCCTAAGAGCCAAACATGAGCTGGTTGTACCTTTTTATTTGTGTGCTATAGGCCCATCTTTACATTTGAGATCTACTTACCCTCAGAGCGTGCATTTTTATTTGGCGCTGAAACATCTCAAGCTCAAAGAAGATGGACAGAGGCAATAGCCAAGGTATTTAGATACTTTATCTATACCCTAAATCCAGAGATTCTTAACTTGGGGGTCAGTGGTTGAGCTTCAGAGGTCCATGAAAAATTTACACAAGATTTTGGGAAGAATGTCTGTACTTTATTAGATTTTTAAAGATTGTAGTCAAAGAGATTGAGAGCTTCCTTCCAAGCCTTAAGTACAGAAGAAATTAATGTAGGAACTTGGAGAGATCATTCTTCAAATTAAGGCCATGTTTTGATGATTAAAATCTTTTCAGTATTATAAAGGCATTTCTGTGTATGTATTTTTGTAGGCAGATATCTTATTCATGGTATACCCAAAGGAGAAAAGAATGGATTCAGTAAAATATACAAATGGAGACAAACAAATGGAGACAAAAGTTGACATTTTGAAAAATGCCACAGATCAAAAAATATATATATCTTCTTATTTCAAGTCTCTCTATATATATTAAGAAAAATGGTTTAAGATGCTGCCGTCTAAAAATGTGTTACAAGCTGTTCAGTTTTAAGACTGATAGCAAGTTTAAATGTCTTGAACTTTGGGTTACTTCCAAGTGTTTAAAACAGAAAAAAGAATATTTTTCACCTTCCATCATATCTGTAGATAGTCAAAGACTCCTATTTTCACTGTCTTTATTACTTTTCTGTATTTGTTTTAACAGCATTTTGTTCCCTTTGTTGCTGAAAACTTAACAGAAGCTGACTATGATTTGATTGGTCAACTCTACTACAAAGATTGCCATGCCCTGGATCAGTGGAGAAAAGGCTGGTTTGCTATCGACAAATCTAGTTTGCGTTTTTACCTTCAAATGCAAGAAGCTCAGGAAGATAGAATGCACTTAAGGAGACTGCAAGAGCTAAGTAAGATATTTTTTCTCTCTCACGTTTAATGGTGCAGTTCTTTATTGCATATGATTAATGGTAGCTTTTACATATGATGGTTCACTTACAAACATCCAAGTATTAGTATTTGTATCTTTATGGTATTTAGCATATGTAAGATAAATTCTACCCGAAATAAGCAGGCAAAGAGAGGCAATAAAGGGCCAGATAATTTATTTAAATACCCCCGGGTGAGGTTCTGTGGCCCTGTTGACACAGGCCAGAGAAGTCACACCCGTTTAGGGAGGTGGGGGGCTTATAAGGGATTAGGAGGGGGAGGAGTGGGCAAGCTATCCTAGGGGGTGTGGAGAGGTATGATTGGCTAAAGGTGACATAAAAGACAAGTAGAAACTTTTTTTCCTTCCAAGAGGGAGGAGGCTGATATCCGGGTCTTAGTTGGCACATCAGGATGGAATTCAGGGAGAGCTGCCCCTTTCCATATACGGCACAGACTTTGGGGTCTGGTCTGTTCTCCCCCTATGGCATCTCTCTGTTCTGTTTGCATGTCCTTGTTTTTCCTTTCTCCAGTCTAACATTCCAGCCTTTTGGTCATAATGGGCGATGACTCAATCTGGCTACTTCCGGCTGACAAGGGGCGTCACGGGGGTTTGAGGCTGATATCAGGCTGAAGGAGGGGGTTCAGTGGGAAGAGGTGTGTAACGGTGAAGTAACATCTGGTTGGTGGCGACTCCGGTCATCTGGGTTAGCTGCTGTTGGAGGAACCTGAGGACACAAGGGGCAACTAAGAGTAAACCACAAACTGTTATTAAGGGGCCCAGTAAGGGCATTAGCCAGGCTATTATGGGGAACTGGAATTCTGGATCGAGTTTATATCTCAATGACTAGTATTAGGATCTAGTATAGATAAGACTGCATTATTGAAACAATACTTTTCTCTAAAATCACCCTTATTTTTATTAGAAGTAGCCAGATTAAGAAAATAATTAATAGTTGGCTTGATTATTTGCATAAGTGCAGCAAGAAGAGCAATTGATTACATAGGCTCTTTTAAATATGCTTTGCTGGGAACTTTTTGTAAGGAATTTCAAATTGAACTTTTAAGGGCTTTTTGAGGCCAGAAAGCCAAGCCAGACTTGCCATCAGGTTGTGCCTGCAGTACCTGTACATTTGGGTGAATTCTTCTCTTCTCTGAGGTTCCCAAAAAATTCTTGAGGTTCTTGCATCTGCCAGGCAGTGACTTTCTTTACTCACTTGGTAAGGCTGCTGGGAACTCTGTAAGCAAGGTACTAGGCCAGTTATTTTAAGGGGCTTTGTTGGCTTTATAAAGTCAATCTTAGTTCCTTAAAGCTGTCTGTTCATATCTGAGTTGCCAACTAAGACCCAGATGTCAGCCTTCTCCCTCTTGGAAGGAAAAAAAGTTTCTAGTTGTCTATTACATCACCTTTAGCCAATCATACCTCTCCACACCCCCTAGGATAGCTTGCCCACTCCTCCCCCTCCTAATCCCTTATAAGCCCCCCACCTCCCTAACCAGGTGTGACTTCTCCGGCCTGTGACAAGAAGGCCACAGAACCTCACCTGGGGGTATTTAAATAAATTACCTGGCCCTTTATTGCCTCTCTTTGCCTGCTTATTTTGGCTAGAATTTATCTTACAGTATAATGTTTTAAAATACATTTATTCATACTTTCCTCCTCTCCCCCCAGCCATCAGCACAATGATTCAAAATGGGGGAAAAATGGATGTCTTGCTCTTGGTAGAAAAAGGAAGGTAAGTGCCTTTATGCCTTCTGTTCTTTATTGTAATAACTCCAGGGTGTAGGATATTTTGGTTACCTTGTTGGGGTAGAATCCATTATCCTATAGCCTGTTGCAAATTTTTTAAAGTATGTATGTATTCTTCGTGAGAAAGAGTACAGATGTGAAACTTGAATATTTTTGTATTTGTTATGACAAACACAGTGTGATCAATTATTGTCATTTCCTATAGCCCTAGATTCCTTTAGGACACCCACAGCTAAGTATTTAGAAGCACCTTGGTAGTTGTAAGTTTGTTTTTGTGTAGGTATGATGGATATAAATAATATCTTGAATTGTCTGTGCATGTGAGTCATGCATAGCTAAAACTTGACTTCTCACATTAAGTACCAATTTGCATCCGGTAATGTTACAAGCATTTGGGATACAAGATGAATAAACAGATACGGTCCCTGCCCTCATGAAGTATATACACTAGCGGTGGAAACAGAATAAAAGTAAAAAAAAATGTTACATGGTACCATCAATTTTAAATCCTTGAAGGAAAAATAGAGAGAGAGCCTGATGGAGCAGTATTCCGTTTTAGATAGGGTGGTAAGACGGTATCTTTGCTCAGAGATCTGCATAAAATGAAGACACAAACAATGCAGCAGCCTGAATAGAATGTTCTAATTACAAAGTCAAGGAGATTTTTAAGACCCTAGGCAATTTAAGGTCTGCAAGGAAGCTTATGTGGCTGGGCTGATTTTGAATGAGTGAGAGTGGGAAGAAATGATTCCAGTGATATCCCCGGGCATTATCGTGTAGACCCTTAGAGGTCATGCTATGTAAAGACTTGAATTTATTCTAAGAATAATGGGAAGCTACTCAGTTTGAACCAGGAAGTGGAATGATCTGACTTAAGATTTTAAAAGACGGCTCTGACTGCAGATGAATAGGCTCTTGGGGGACAGAGTGCTCCTTAGGATGCTCCTGCAGAGGCCAGGCAACAGATGACTTATCTAGTCACGTAGTGTTGAAGGGTGCTTGAACATATTGTGACAGAGGTGAAAGGATCTTTTGATGAATTAGATAAAGGTAAGAGGCCACGATGAACCCAAAATTTTTGGCCTGAGCAATTCCATGAATGATGATGCTGTTTTATCAGATCACAAATATAGGATAGTTGAGTAGGTGTTAGTAAGTTTAGGGTAGTAGTTCAAGAATGTGGTTTTGGGAGTGATAACTTTGAGATGTCTGTTTGATAGCCAAGGGGAGCTGGTGATTGGGGCGTTAGTATGTACAATCCTGGAATTGAGTGGAAGGACTGCAGCGGGCGATAGAGGTTTGAGAGTCACCAGCATATTGGTGTTATTTAGCCAAAGAACTGGACGGATTCACTTAAGAAAGAGTATAAATAGAGAAGACACTGGAGGATGGTGGTCCCTGGGGTTCTGATATTTAGAGGTCAGTAAGAGGAGGAGGATCTACAAAAAGAGCTTAGGAGGAGCAGCTAGGGTCCCACCACAACAATTGGGAAGGTATAGTCTCTTGAACAAATTGTTTTTTTCTTTATTTCTTGTCCTTTACTTCAAAATCCTTTAATTACACTGATTCAGAATGTTTAGCTCTACAAGAGTTCAACATCATTTGCAACAAATGCATGTAATATAAAAATGCAGCTGAATTAGCCTTCCTCCTGGTTGTTTTCCTTGCTGGTGACATAAATAATAACTTTCAACAGTTATCTGAACCTGCCTTTTCTTCAGCTTTATGGAAGGACATCAGCTTTAGACAGCAAACATATTGCTGATTAGATATTTATATCAGAGAATATTTTTAATTCACAGGCATAATGAAGATTTTGTATTTTCATTGATCTATTAGATTCTGATTTGGATGCCAGTTGATAGTTTCACTGTACTGTCAGAGCACTGTTAATTTATTTTCGGAAATAACAATGAGGCAGTATTATGTATAGATGGTATTATATCATTAAAGTACTAGCACAAAGGTAATTGTTACAGTCATTTATTAGTATTTACAGAATGCCTGCTGCCTGCTACCTCCTAGGGCAGGGAAGAATGGTCAACAATACAGATTTGGTATCTGAGCTCACAGAGCTTCTTAGACAGACAAGCAGCAACTTGGTAGTTGAATTTGTTGTATTTATCCTTCATATATCTATATATTTTTAATCAAGTTACTATAGCAAAGGTATTTTTCTACCATTTTCAGTTTAAGAAGGATTTAACTAGTGGCGCATAAATTTTAATTAAAATTTAGCAAACATGGATTAAAATGATTCAATTTGATGAATTTTTATTTAGTGCTTATTGCCTGCAGGCAGACTTCCTTATAAATGCAAGGTAGGGAAGCCGGAAGACTAAATGCTTTGTTATTGTAGCATCTTGACCTTTCCCCTGGACTGCAGGAAATTAGTAAGTGAACAGAGATATACTTTTGAGTTCATGGAATAGTTGAAAACAAATAGAATTCCAAAGTAATGGTCAAGGCTGCTTAATCCTGTTTTTTTATGATAATTTAAAGTTTTTATCTATTTGTTATTAACAAGTTATATTAAAAGCATTTTAACAATAGTGGAGAACAAGGAGGGTGCCAGGAAGGAAGTAGGGGGAATACAGGGGCAAATACATGCCCAAGTTAACTTCTTTCAGTCTCTTTGAAGAGCTGCCATACAAAACGTACCTTTTGAAAACAGCTATATTTAGTACTTGCTATATCCTGCTTTTACTTGTTTTCTCTTAATCAATAATATTCTGAAGACAGCAGTTATGAGAATGTGTAGAACTTAACATGTTGTGTAGACACTCTTGTAAGCACTTAAACAGCCTTCCAGTGCCTATATGATGTTGAGGAGAAAAACCCATTTTGAAATTAAGGTAAAGTCAATTTGTAACTTCACAACCAAATATTTTTTTTCTTTTTATCACAGATGTTAAATATACAGATCAGTCTCAATAATTAAATGAATAAATTGTGCCAGAAGTCTGGATAAACAATATGTTTCCAGAATTTAGAATTTAAGCATTTTATTAGAAAGCCTAAAAAATCATCTTATTAGAAAATAAATAAATGTACAGCTGTGCATACAATTTTTAGCTAATTAAAGAGAAAGCAGAAAGAAGGCAGGTCAGAAGTCTGAATAAAAAATCAAGGAGATTGTGAGTGCACTAGGTTTTAATCCTTTCCAGAACAGAAAGCATGCAGCTGTGCCAGACGATGGCACCTGAGGTGGTACAAAATAGGGCTCATCTGTATGTGTCTGTATATTTATACACACATGTATGCACATATATGTATGTATATATTTTGTAAATAAATGGACTTCAAATAGGGAATACTGGGAAAAGAATAGGTTTGGGAGTTTCATTTAAGACGTGTTGAAAATGAAGTGTTTATCAACATCTAAAGACAAGTGGCTAGTAGGAAGTTACAGTTATGGATCTGACCTTCATGTAAAGGCTAATGAAGTGGACATACATATTTTGGGGTTTCCTGTTTCTGGAAGGGAGAAGGTGAAATCACTTAGGAAGAGTCTGTTGAGTAGACAGGAAGAAGTACCATGTTGGAGCCTTGATGAATGCATGTCATATGAGAGGTGGGGTGACTTACAGGGAAGAGTAGCTGCCCTGGGATATTAAACTGGTTGATCCAGAGAGTGAGGCAAGTAATAACCAAGGCAGAGTGGTGTCACTGAGCCCAGGAAGAGAGTGCTTCCGGGAGGTGGGATTAGTCAGAAGTGTCAGGTGCTGTGGGATGAGGACAGATCCTCCATCGGTAAGTGATACTGACAGCTTTGAAGAGAGCAGAAGTGATGAAACAGAACCTGGATTAGATTAAGGCTGGAAACAAAAAAATTGAAACAGCTGCAGAGAACAGTTTGGCAAGAATGTCTGGAGGGTAATAGGATTAGTGAAGTGGAAGGGATTTGACCTTGGGAGGGAATAGATGTGCAACTTGTTTTAGATGGTTTGAACTTGTGCGGGCCAGAGAGCAGGGGCCCTCAGTTTTAACAGGAAGAAAAGAAGAATTGTTTGGTGGTTTTGGATATTGGGAGCCTTCTAGATCTGGTAGGATGTTGAGAGATACCCATCTGGTGGTGGTCAGTTGCTTTGTGAATTAGGAGTTAAGGATGACTTCTGAGCTTTTGGCCTAGGTGACTTTTGAGTGGTTGTATCATTTACCAAAATAGGGAATGCATACTTCTCTCCTGTTAAGTTTGCATACTCAAACAGACCAGTTAATTGTGGATGTGATTAAGAGCTATTTACTTCTATGTAAATAAGAGAATTTCATTGCGTGGCACTCTTTTTTCATCTCTCTCTTGATTTATTAGCCCCTTGGGAAATATTGACTGTAAGCTAAAGTAGATTGTGTTAGATTTGTCAATGACAGATAAAATTGTGGCTTATGAAATAAAAAAACTTCCAGTTACAAATGTTGATAGCATATAGAGATAGTGTGAACAACTGAAGAGAGAAACCAACCAGCTCTAAGTTTTAACCTTTATTTTTTTGCTAGTAACAGCTTGAACCAGAATTGCAAATCATAAATAAATTTAATGAATTTCACATCTTTTCCCCAACCTTGCCTACCTTTGATTAAATGGCTAAAATATTTTAATATTTCTTAAAAGCAAGGATCAGAAAAAACCTCTTAAACAGGAAAAATTCATAAATTGATAATCACCCACTCACTGAACATAGTCTCAGTTTAGATATATACTTTAATCTTCATGGTAATTTTCCCTATCTGCATAGCAAGAGTGTCTTTAGACAGAAAAATATTGCAATAATATTTTCCACACACAGAGCATTTTAGCTCCAAAAAGCCCTAAACAGAAGGTGTTCCAGATGGTGTCGCTTTAATGTGTATTCTTTGTATACTCTAAAAATTATTATTTTGGAAAATAAAGCTTTCTTGATTACACTTAAGGGTTTCTGGCATGCTATTTGATGCTGTTGCTGGGGCTTAGACTCTGTGCTTTTCCCTTATACCTTAGTCAGAATT